TCTCACACCAAATCTCATCACGGCTGTGCCCAGTGCAAACATCGTCGGATAAAATGCGACGAGTTTCGACCGATTTGCAGCTCGTGCCATAAGAAGCACATCAGATGCTCATTCGAGGGCGAATTCACCCCCCAAACATTGCATCACGGCTTTGCTGCCTCTAGTACCCATGTCGATCTCATTCCGAAAAATGACAGCTTTCAACTCCCACTGCTGGACTTGGAGCTCTTGAACCACTGGCACGTGGCGACCGTGCGGACATTGGTACACGACAAATCCACAGAGAAGGTTCTGCGGGAGTTTGTCCCACAGGAGGCTCTATCGCATCCGTTCTTAATGCACAGTTTATTGGCTCTATCTGCACTTCACCTAAGTCACCATGGCCCCGTCGAGAGAAGACACAAGTACACCGAGGCCGCCATGACACACAACAACATTTCGCTATCTTTGTGTAAGCCTCTTCTAAACAATGTGACTTCGGGAAACTGTCATGCTTTGTTCGCGTTTGCATGTTTCGTCGTCATGTTCTCGTTTGCTGCGCACGGACCAAAGGTCGACCCGGGAGCTCAGCATCTGTCAGCTGTTCTCGAGGTCTTCATGTTAATTCGGGGAGTGGCTTCAATAGTGGGACAGGCTCGCCCATGGATTGAAGCAGGCGGTATGAGAGATTTACTAAAACTCGGCGAGCAGCCGCGTGAAGAATCGAACACCTCGCATGCGCGGGAACTGTATGCTCGCATATCGGACATATATGACAATCTGAGACGACCTTCTCGGCCGGGATGCTACGATAGCGAGAGCCTAGTGATTGAAGAATCCGTTCAAAAGTTCCTTGATCTGCTGCAACAGGCAATCGGCGTAGCAAACCCGGCTCCTTCCATTATGATGAGATGGCCTGCCGTGATAAATGCGAAGTATTTGGATTTGTTACAGGCAAATCATCCCACGGCACTGGTGGTACTTGCTCATTATGGTGTTGCACTTGAGCTGATGGCTGAGAATTGGTGGTTGGATGGATGGGGTGCGTTTTTGGTGAATACCGCTTTGTATCGTTCGGGACCACATCCTGGGCCAGAGCTTATTTGGGCCCGCGAAGCTATAAGGCGGCAGTCATAACGCTCAGTCGTCCAGTCAATCTTCATAGGAAGATTCGTTCGAGGCATCTTTCACGGTCGCATAATATGGGAACCAGACTGTCTATCTTCTCTACAGCACCTATTCGTCAGATATCAAACGAGGTCCACTATTGTGAGAGGTCGCATAATACCTTTCCTGAGCCCCGAAACACTCTGATGGACACCATTTACATATACCCAAGCGCCAGGGAAAATACTTGAGGCATGCTTTCTAAGAGACTCCACTGCATCTGTGTGTTTCTGCCAATAAGATTTAAATGTCCGGCAGCTCGGACTTACTCATTAATGGCTCAGTGCTACTTGAGAATACCTCAGCATGGTCTAGACTCAATAACCCAATCCCACCATTCTGAGATTCACTGGGGAGTTTGAGGTGTATTTTGGTGAATAGGGAAATCTTTGTATTTATTAGGATTTATTCTAGGGGACTTTTTATCGATTCTTAACTTCTTAAGCTCATCGTGGTTAAGATTATAGTTGAGTTGCAAATCAGGTTGCAGCTCGGCATGGTCTGGAATTAACTCGGCGTGGTCTAAGGGTGTCTAAAACTCACCTAACTCATGTAAATGTCAACCATTGACCATATTCCACAGAATTTCACAATGTATTAAGCTTCTTATATTCTGGCTAAAAGATTCTTCGATAGTTTCGATTGTTTTGAGCTCATCATGGTTAAGAAAACCTTTTCAAATTAGGTGACTTATAGGTAGGGTACCTACCTTTAGACCACGCTGAGGTTTGAACCCCGAGACCACGCTCACCTTTGAAAATAACACTGGGTTGTAGCTCAGCGTGGTCAAAACTCAACTAAATCGCATAATACTACACTCTACCTTTCCACTGTTCTCGCTCTAATGAAAAATTTTCAGAATGTACTTGCAAGACTTTATAGCGATTAAATATACAATTAAACTTTTTTTAATTAGGGGAATCTACATCGAATTCGTAAGTTTTGAGCTCATCGTGGTCAAGAATCATCCTGAAATTATTTTAGTTTTAGAGGTCCTTAGACCACGATGAGCTGCAAACAGAGCTACACATGTTACACAACCAAGTCAAGTCCATCCCGTGCTTTGTGAACCTAATTATCTTCAAAATTAAATCCGCTCCTGCTTCTTGTCTTGAGCTAAATCAACGCGCAACCAACTCCACCATAAGTGGCGACTTCATCCAAACAGCATAGGTCTCCTGATCCTCCCACTCACCCAGAGCCTCTCGTCCATTCGGCAATGCGAAATCGAAGTGATAAATCAGATATCCGATCACAAGCGACATCTCCAATCGTGCCAGATTCTGTCCAATACAGTCCCGCGGACCCTGCAAGAATGGTTGTATCGCGGAGCGCCGATCGTTTGCGAAGCGACCCTCTTCGGTGTTCAACCACCGTTCCAAGTGGAAATTGGTGGGGTCGGAAAAGTTTCGGGGGGATAGACCTGCAGCCCATGAGTTGTATGATACTTTGGTCTGTATGGTTGGTGCATTAGCTTTGTGTTTGAGAGGTTCTCAGAAGCATCATGGACACTTACGCCTCCAGGGAAGAATTCTCCACACACGGTATGTCCCCCACTGGGAATAAGTCTCGTAATTCCCAGCGGCACAGGCGCGGTTAGTCGGATACCTTCCTTGATGGCTGCATCCAAGATTGGTAGTTTCGACAGCTTGTTCGCATCCAAATCCTTCTCATCGGGGAAACTACTTCGAACCTCTTCTGTCACTCGGGCCAGGGCTTCGGGGTTCTTCAGTAAATGGAACAGGATCCCCGTGAGTGAGGACTGGAGGGTATGGCTTCCTGCGAAGATAAAGGTACCCGCGTTGATTTCCATCTCGGGTTCTGTAAGCTCGTTCTTCGACTTGAGAAGGTATGAGAAGAAATCCGGTCGGTCTACTGCGGTATGTAAGCGCTTTTGGACCTTCTCATTGGTCATGGCCTGATGTCTTTCCACCATCAATTGGGCAGATTTTGGTAAGCTCTTAACCAGATAGTTAAAGAGCCATGGATAGAAGCGAAAAGCCGCAATCTGCACTTTGCCCTTCACGGAATTAACCACCATGCCGACCCATTCGTGGTAACTATCATTGTCAAGGCAGCCGAAATCTTCCCCGAAACTCAGTGAACAGATGATGTCGAATGTGCAGTAAGAGATCCATCGCTGGAGGTCAACTCTTTTCTTTGATGGGTCGGAGCTGTTTGCCCGCGACTTCAACTGGGCGATCATTTTAGAGACGTAAGAGGTTACCAGTGGCTTTTGGGCGTTCAAGGCCTGTGTACTGAACGCGGGGGCATATGCTTTCCGAATACGCGAGTGGTCTTCATCTTCCACATCCAGAATGTCGCCGGGCTGCCCGGGTTGTGGAGGCTTTTGGCGGATCGGATCCTTGGGTAGCGCCTTGTAATGGGGGTTGGTGGGACGACGGCTGTAGATGTCTTTTATGCAATCGGGGTCCAAGAATGACACCTCATCCGGAGCCACGCGGACAGTATCGCCATATATATCGTGGAATCTTTTGATGTCGTGAGCCAGCCGACCCGACCGAAAGGCGAGCATATAAGGGAGTCGCGTCAGCGCCCAGAGCCGTGGGCCATTGTAGCGGGAGAGAGGATGGAAGTAGAGCCGTTTTATCGCTAGCAGAACGGGCAGCTGGAATGGATTAGTTCATATTCATTAGTAGAGAGTTTTGAGGCCGAGAGAATATTGTACCAGCAGGACCGTTATAACGGTCGCGTAGACGGAGACGTTAAGCGCCATTGCGACGGATGCAGAGCTAGATGAATCATGATTGATGATGGGTGGGTGGGATCATTTAAATGCGGCTAATCGCTGCTAATCATTTGGTAACCTCCCATCTGTCAGCGGGGGCTAGATTGGGGGCCTTTTTTAAATTGTCAAGAAAGGGGGGACAAGGCAATGCGACTGGGCAGCGTGTTCCAGGCTTCCAGCATGCATGAACAGCCTGATGCAGTGACAGGCATCATCCACTGCACCTCGAATACTTATGTAGGACTAGTTGACTTTGGCATTTCAGATATGTGATCACTGATTGGGTGCCGAGAGTACTGACTTACTAGTGCTTATGCTTACGTCTTGGTGGTCCGCATCTCGCATCTCACATCTCACATCTGGCTCCCACAAGCATTGTGAGATCTCACAGGTGTGCTCGCTTCGCCCCAGACTTTAATTATTGTCGATAAGCAAGCCGAGGTGGATTGAAGACAAAGTTCGAGTAGTTATGTCGTTTGCGTAAGAAGTTTCGCTATCATCACACCATCATTGCGTTGCTGCTAGCTCTTGAGTGCTTCCGGTCGGCATGTACAATACAAGGGTGATTGTTCGTCCCCGCACTTGATGTCCGATATCGCATCGCCACGAAGAATGAAGAGACTTGGTCAGGTATGCCTGATGTCAAATACGGGAATAAAGAGCTGCACTGGAGTATGAGGAGTTGTTGATTGACAGCGATCTGGTGACGACACATCTTAAGTAGATGACCTCGCGCTGTGCTCTCCATTGTCCTTAATTAATCGAGCTGTTCGGGTCGATATGGCAGTTAGCCATGTCTATGCTACTCTTTCGCGAAACTAACCAACTGGAAAATGCATGAGCGCGTCAATTATCAGGGTGCTGCGGTGATAGATACATCCGCTTTCCAGAATAGCCCCCGATAGATGGGGAAAAGGTCAAAGAGCATGCAAGACAATGCAAGTCACTGGCGTAGAACGTTATTTATCGCAGACTTAACTCGACTAGTTGCAGCTTGATTCTATTCAAAAAGCCAATCTATCTAATGAAGCCAAACATCACCCCATCCATCCTACTCCTTTCTGTGCACAGCCGCAACCATTGCCTTTCCACTAAGAAGATATCGAAGCAATCTGGTCAACGCACGTGTAGCCTCAAGCCAATCTTCCTTGAGATATAGATTATACCCTCGCGTAAACTCCAATTCAAACTCCTCCTCATCCGAGTATCCATGTTGATATACCCTAGCAATCCGATCTCGCGGAAAGAATCCCCGACATATATGAAGATAGGGTCCATGGAGACCCACAACAAAGACTTCCTGGCTTTGGACCCCGCCATGTGAACCATGTGTTAGATTCATAGTCAGATGTCCCAGCATACTGCAAATTGTATCTGTCAAAAGTTCGTTCCAAGTTTGTCCCTTGTACCACTAAATTCCATTAGAAAAGCCACCTTTCCAAAAGGAGTAATCGTCAATCCTACCCCGGTAAAGGAGACTATCGGTATGAATTCATCCCGTGTCCCAACATGAACATTACCCTCCAATCGGGCAGCATATTGCAACCTCCCCACCACATATTTCACATCCCGTGGGAATGGTAAGGCACTAGAGATAAGTTACCATCATTCTAACTATACCCATCCATCCAATATAAAGTGTATGTATCACTTACCCAAGCCTCGGCGCTTCATCATCCAAATCCTCAAGTCTACGGTAGATGCTTCGCATCAAGTCCCCCAAAACATGGCTCTGCGAGTGGAGGAACTGCACATGATTCGACCTGTCACCGACCCTCCAGCTTTTCCTAGGTAACGTGATGGTCTCGCTGGGTTTCAAAATATTCGTTATCCCCGTCTCCTTGCACAAGATCTCTGAAATCATATTCTTATGTCCTTGCTCTTCTATATAGTCGACGAGTTGAGCGAACAAGGTCTTGAAGAGAAGCTCTTCTTCCGGCCAGCTTTGTGTGCAGTCCCAGTCCATGAGGTTTGATTGTTGGAAGACCCAGGGGATAAACTGTTGGATACCTTCATCTGATTCATGCGTCAGCAGAGCGTATATAGATAAAAAGAATAATAAGTCTGCAGTAGATACCTTCGCGTTCGCAGTCAACGACTCTCGGTATTAAGCACTCAAGCTCGACCACTTTTGAGTGGATTGTTATTGACATCTTCAACAGTGTAGGGAGCAGATCAGTAGGTTGTCAGTCAGTATGTTGATCGTCTTGTGAGTTGCAGCGAGATAAGAGGCGTGCGATGACACCTACTGAGCCAGCCTTGAGAAAAAGTCCTAGGTGAGACAAGCTCTGGTTCTAGATCGCGGTATTTCCCGGTCGTACAGATCACTGATCCTTTTAGACTGGGGTGTTTGTATTATATCAATTCAATGAAATAGTTATGATATCTGCGTATTCAGCTGAGGTGAATGTTCGGAATGGTCCGTTATGTCATTGTAATTCATAGACTGTATTATCGCATGTTGACTGCACATCGAAAAAAACTATAATGCCTTCATAGAAAAGTCTTAATTTCAGTATTTACGTTCTGGCATCATACACATAGTTTGATGTCTAGAGGGTGGATATAGAGAGATAGGTAGATCTAGAGTAGATTTTATTATCCGTTTGGACTGATTACTCCTTCAGCTAAGCATACACACTAAAAGAGGACTCATCACATTTACGTTAGTATTGGGTGGTTTCGTGCGATAGCTTCCTGCAGCACAGGCCTCGCGACATAGTTACGGCTGCATTGCATCTGCAGTATCGCTGTTCTTGCTTCCACATATGCTGCAGAAGAAGCCGACGTGGTTTCCATACATCGTCAGGTGATTAGTAGTGACTTAATTGTTCCTCGAAACATACAGTACAATGAAAATACGGTAACATACGAGAAGGCAGTCTGATTTTGAACTATTTACAAAGAATGTACTCTCATGCGAAAAGGTAGAGGTCACTATGACCTACTTCACTTAGTCTGGCTATCCAGGGCAGCGACGAATAAGTTAATCAGCTGTACCAAGATGTTAGAAACTGTGACATTGCTATATTCAGCAGAAGCAAGATAGGTTATACTTACATACGAAGAATATTGATTATCTCCGCCAGCTCTGCGGAACACCTCCCGCCGCTCATCCAGCTGGTCTTGACAACAATAGAGCACCTCTTGTAATTCCTTGTTCACCCTGAGGTTACTTAGAAAGTTCTCTGCATTTGCGTCATTGCCAACCCGTGAGATGAGAAATATTGCACCCGCTGGCTGCTTGGAAAGCTGGGTCAATTTCTTCTTGCACTCCAAGATGGTCTCACCAAAGCAATTCTCATCCTCACCATCTGGCTAATGTAAATTATGTATTGGTTAGCCCGATGACAACCTTGTAGGAACTTTGCACCACATACATGTCCATCTGTTACGACGATAGTAATGACCGGCTTCGCAGAAAGGCCATTCTCCAATGGTTCGAAGATGAGAGGCTGGACAATCTTGGTTCTGAGCGCGTTTCCCAGTCTGGTCCACCCATAATATTTGACCTTCTTCATGTGGTTTCTGATCTCAGTTGGTGACAGCTTATTCAGGTGCCGATCTTCTGTGCTGTTCAGAAACCGAAGATACACGTCCTGGTCTTGTATCGCGCTGGCAATTTCGGCAACACGTTGACAAGTATCTTCAAGAGCCCGTATACGAGCACCCTTTTTGCTTTTCATTGAACTGCTGTCATCTAACTCAAAAGCTTAGCGTGGGAACAAGGGATCTGTTAAGGGGTAGAAAGCGTACCGCAGAGGATCACGAAGTCGTATAAGGCCATAACGGCCAACTTCGGCGTTGTCCCGGGTTCCAAGTCGTATTTTTGTGTGAGATCCTTGGCGCGAACAGCCGCACTCTTTACTAGTTCCTCCACGTATGGATCCCCAGGTTGGTAATACGACTGGAGATAATGCTCGATGTAACCCCAGACATACTCTCGATACTCTTCCTCAGTCTCGGGTATCTTGGGCGCCAACATGCGCGATAGTGGTGAGTTTTCGGGCTGTTGGATTCCGAGATGTCTACTGAATTCGGTGAGAAATTGGTCGACAACCTCGGCAACAATCTCATTGATAGTATCTTCGTGCTCGTCGCCAACACTTGAGGATTCGTACCCATCAAACTCATCGCTGTACTCCGAACCCATGACTGACGGCCTGACAATGGAAGTGATTGTTACTTGTCTCTTGAGTGTTGGTTATAGTTGTGGACTCCATGTATTCGACCATCTTTTCTGCCTTCGGCCCGACATTTTTATTGTCATCGCCGCAAGGTTGCCAGCACACAATACCCCGATAAGGTAGCCATATATCGTGTGCGCGTGACTGAGTTTCGCGGAGCCCAAATATCGTGTAGCCAGCTTTCATGCTAAGATGGAGGTTGTAGGGCGTTCCTCAAGAAGCGGCTGAGGAGATTTTGGGTGCCGAAGAATGAATATGGAACAAAGTGTCGAAGCAAACGACAACTGACAGGTGGGGTCAGGGCGGGGCACGCGGCGGGGCACCTATGATATCACGCATGTATAACATTCTCCCCCCGACGTTGCGCGGCAACCGCGGAGAAGCAACCTTCCATTCCCAATGTATGGCGATATATGGCCTACAAATGAGTACAATTATTCCTGACAACATATTCTGGGACAGCCTAACAGGCTGTCTTGATGCCTGATGTCGGGAGTTTCGGTCGCTGCTCTTCAAATCTACCTCCATGTTCGGCTTTATGTGGCCGATTCGAAGGTTGAGTTCGCCAGATGTGCTCACCCCCTGTTACTGTTGATATGCGCCTGACTCAATATCTGCTAATGTGAAGAAGACATCTGGAAATTTGATGAAACTCGATGACATCACTACTTATCGTCTGCCCGAAACATTACATGCAAGCAAAATGCAGTGCTGGACTAGTGGCCAATCAACGCACTCAGATACAACGCTCAGCCTTGCGCTGCATAAAGAAGATAAAGGGCAAGCTCTCCGTGGGCCGATAGCGTGGAGACACGTCGGCCATTCTGCTGGCATACCCCCAGTTGATATGCAGTGTGTCCGCAAATGTGCAAATTATTGCCTGCAAATGTTCCGGCTGATGTCCAGTAAGGGGTCTTCCTGCAAGATGCTTTTGTATGAGGCACACCAATCCACACCGCTTCTGATCAGCTGCCTGCGTGAACCCCTTGCCACTTTTTTGTTTGTTTCATGTTTTCCTATGTCAATGCAATCACGCCCAAGTACCCTAATCAGAAAATGAACTGCTGACTACCTCGGGGACTACTATGTACTTCGTGCCCTAAACCACCTCCCAATCCCCGACCAAAGCAAGCAGAAATTTTTTCAGCCTCCAAGGCTGAAGATCTCTGGCATGGATCTGATAGTTGTACGGATAACTACCGCAATGTGCCCGTACACGCTGTCTGCTTGTTAGGCGCTCTTGCTTCTCTGGGCTACTTCGTTCAACGATGAGGGCATTCCCGCAATATCTGCCTTCCGGATATTCTAGCTCCCAGGTCTCCATATATGTTGTCGGAGGCTATATAGTTCTGATCAAGCTCACCTCGACTGAAGTCTAAGTCCAGACACCTACACGTTAAAAATCGCTCTGAAAACCTTGCAAATATAATCTTTCAGTCACCACTTCCCTACTTTTGCTACAGACATCATGTCCGAAGAAGTAATCATCAACAATACCCTCGAAGAGCTCCAACACGCAGCCAGTAATGGCCCTCTCCGCAATCTTTTGAGGAGCCATATAATCCAGCACTGTTCTCCCGACAAATTACAAGCTTACAACAAGTTGAACGAAAAGCACAGAAGGCTTGTGGTGTCACATGTGGCCCTGAATATGGCGATACAAATGTTTGACAATCTCGGCCAGCAATTGGCCACAGAGTTGAAGAAAGCAACCTAGATATTTTTCGGGCCCATGTTAGGCCCAGGGTGTCTCGGGTAAGATCTCCCCAGTCTTAGCAATATTTCCTTGAGGCATCTTTGATTGATCTAACCACGAGGGTTCATCTAGACAGTCCCAGCGCAGTTATGGTTCTTTGGAAGTATGGCCAAGTGATTGAAGTGGTTGAGTTGGTGGTTTTATTCGAATATCCTCGCTTTATACATGCTTTGCAACGGTTTTTGTGACAAACTTTGTGTTTCGATTCGTTTTCGTTCATAGAGATTCAATGCAGTTATTACTTGGCTTATCAATATACGTCAAGCCTGTAGATTAGCAATGTAGTATCATACTGGTTCAAGTCTACTCAATAGGAAGCGGGGAACCCAAAATAAATCATATAAATACTTCCAATTAGATGAATGCATAATATTGAAATGAAAAAAAAAAAATGAAAAAACAAAGGCATCCCTGAAATCACTAGAGTGTATGCTCAAGCTTCTGGAATTGCTTCAAGACCGCCAACAAAGCCTTCAAGAAAATCTCATACCCGTTGCTTTTCATGTATACATTCTGAACGCCAGAGAAGCCATAGAACGTTTTCCGTGAGATTCCGAGAGTTGAAAGCAGCCTTGAACACATACCTGTGAACGTATAGCTGCCCAAACACTTGTAAAGCTGAGGTATACTTACAACCAGCTGGCAATGACTGCTGATAAGGGGATGGGATTTCTTTGCGGCCCAACACTAAGCAGACTGACAAACATACTACAAAAGTCGGAAACTCCCCTCGCAACAAAGAGACAAACCCTCAATTTCCTTTCAAACAAGTTGCTTATTACATTCTCTTCTCTCGTTCTAATTCCCCATGAAACAGCTATGCGCACATACGGCCCCCAGCAATCACTCCGGTGCGCCGACTATCGCGTGGGCTGGGTCTGCGCCTTAGCGCTCGAGCTCACGGCAGCAAAAGCCATGTTAGACACGGGACATGGCAGACCATCTGATCTTGAGATCCTGTCAGGGTTCGACGATAACCAATATGAGTTTGGCCAGATCGGTGGTCATAACGTTGTGTTGGCCGTCTTGCCCTCCGGTGGCTATGGGGTCGCTCAGGCAGCCCTTGCCGCGAACATGATGAAACGTGCCTTTCCGAAAATACAGTTCGCTTTGCTGGTGGGTATCGGAGGAGGTGTGCCAAGCAGAACCAATGATATTCGCTTAGGAGATGTGGTGGTCAGCACTCCAGTTGCCGGGTATCCTGGCGTGTTGCAGTACGATCTCGGCAAGCGAGGACTGGACGAAGATATTACTACGACCGGAGTTCTTCGAAAACCAGCACGGAAAGCCTTGGCAGCCATTAACGTTATGAGGGCAAGGTACATGATGATCGATAACGATTTGTCAGGTGCCATCAACGAAGCATTGGAGAAATATCCCAGAATGTGTGATGATTTTTCCCACCCTGGTATGGTGAATGATGTCCTGTACCGTGCGGATTACGACCATGTGTCTGGAGATGATTGCTCCAGTTGCAGTAACGGCATGGTGATGAGCCGAAGGGCACGGAAAACGAATGAACCACGCATTCACTACGGACTTATCGGATCGGGAAACCAGGTCATCAAGAACGGGAAGTTTAGGGAGCGGCTGAGAGAAAAGCATAACATTCTGTGCTTTGAGATGGAAGCAGCGGGTGCATTGGTAAGTGATGGAGGTACCACGATTAGTGTCACGATGTTTGTTTCTAATTTTGAATCAGGAAGCATTCGAGTGTCTTGTCATTCGAGGCATTTGCGACTACTCAGACTCCCATAAGAATGATCTGTGGCAGGGATATGCAGCGCTTACAGCAGCTGCATACACAAAGGACCTATTGCTTCTAATTGAGGGCTCGGTCACCCCAGATGGTGAGTAACCCATCTACACTTTTGTTTGTCTCTTCCTTTGTGGAATGTCCTAACAACGATCACATAGCTATGGCTTCACCCAGCCCTCCTGAGGTTGAGGTTCCGGAGAATATTAGTCTGGGTGTTCCAGCACACGGGGGCAACCCGGGGGTCAGAAATTATTCCCAGAACGTTTCCGTCCATAAATCGCAGTTTCACCAACAACAACAACAACCACCAATAACTTGCGAACCTCCGCCAAGTTATACACAGGCAGCACGTTCCTTTCAACCTGCACCTGCATCGGTTGAGCTGCCTTGTCAACAACCAAAGAAGGTTGACATTGAAAAGAAACGAGCAGATCGAAACAGTTCTCCAAAACCGCCTGTTTCACGACCACCCCAGCAGCCAATTGACCCTCGCCTCCGGAAAGACTACGGAAGAAGACTGGTGGAAGCAGCTAAAGCTGGCAATATGCCCTCGGTGAAGAGATTCATTGAAAGAGGAGGTGATCCAAACACCACAACCGATGATTGGGAACTGACCGCGCTGCATTACGCTGCCAGGATGGGTCATAACGGATTAACACGACTGCTTCTCAAAGCAGGGGCCAATCCCAATGCCAAAGCTAGATTCAGAAACGACACCCCGTTATTTGAAGCGGCTGCCAGCGGTCATATAAAGGTCGTGCAATACTTGTTACTCCACGGAGCTGACTTCACGGTCCATTGTCAGCGGGGTAAGACTGCATTGCACGCAGCTGCCGAGAAAGGGCACTTTGCGTGTGTCGAGCTTCTGGTACAGAGCAAGGCCGATTCCGACAGCATTGACGATGAAGGACATACACCTCTGGACTTGGCGAAGAAAGAGGATCGTTTGGAGATAGTCAAGTATCTGCAGCGGATATAGGGCTTTCGTTTCGTTGATTTTTTATTTCGAGAATATCTTGCGATCTAGTTCTTTGCGATGCGGCACCAGAATAATGTTACAGAATATTTTGTTCTATGAAGATTTAACAAACTGACTCGTCGTATGATCATCAATTGTCGTATCTATGTAGATGTGTAATCACATGATCAGGCTCCAGATCTCTTCGACGGTTCCAGTCATCGCTTCTTTACTCCGCATTGCAAGAAATCCACCAAATTCATCAACTCTACCATTAAGATCATCCAGTACCTGAATTCATTGGGTTCTGGCAGCTATGGAACTTCTCTGAGGCTACAATTCTACTTCCACAGTAGCACTGCCTTCAAGGTCTTCCCAGTCGTCATGTCGCTGATTGCTTCATCGTATTTCTCAATCGGGTAGTACTTGATGAGTTCTTCGATGGGATAATTTCCGTTTGTGTTTTGCTCAATGAGGTATGGCAGGAACTAGGGGTTTATTAGCAATGCTGATTTTTCTTATCGTGCAGGGGCATTTTACCTTCTCAGGCTGTCCGTCTCCCTCACAGCATCCTACGTACTGGCGACCGAAAACCAGTTGTGAGAAGAGATCGACCTTGACTGTTTTCCCGGGTGTTGAAGCACCGACAGTCGCCAATTTTCCCCGAGTTCCGAGCGCCTGGATAGCATTCTCAACAACTGCCGGAACACCGGTACAGTCAACGGCATAATGCACTCCAAGCGGTGGACAGATCGCCTGGATTTGCTTGACAATGTCCTCATCAGTTCCGCTGATTGTATGTGTTGCCCCAAGCTTTTTCGCTAGGTCTAGTCGATCCTGATTTAAATCAACGGCGATAATAGTCCTTGCACCACGTATTTTCCCCGCCATGATAGCACTCATACCTACGGAACCAGCACCGAAGACCGCTAAACTGGTTCCGGGTTGCACATCAAGTGTGTTCATAACTGCACCTGCCCCAGTCTGGAAGCCACAGCCTAGTGGTGCGAATCTATCCAGTGGACACTCAGGATCCACTTTCACAACACATGATGCATGCACAATAGCCAAACTGGCAAAGGAACTCTGACCGAAGAAATTCCCACGCAAGGGGTCTCCGTTCGGGAAAGATAGGGTAAAGCTCCCGTCTGACCTTTGTTGACCGAAATTGCTCGGTACCCATTGTTTGCAATATGCTGGATGTTCGCTGGTGCATTGCTCACAATCTCCGCAGAAAGCATAGCTCAATAACACCTTGTCATCAGCATGGAGATGTGTGATGCTGCTGCCGGTTTTCACGACAACGCCAGCCCCTAGGTGACTCTTAGCGGGTTACGGGCATTCAAACGGGAACTTCGTACCTTCATGTCCAAATACACATGGAGCAGATGCAGGTAGATTTCCGTTCATACAAGAGAGATCGGTATGGCAGATGCCTGTCGCATGTATCTCGACAAGCACTTCGTCGGATCTCAGGTCATTCAGGTGTATGTCCTCTAAGCTGAGAGGACTATTAACCTCTCTCATCACCAGTGCTGTGGCGGTCGCAGCCATGATTTCGGTCGCTTAGGTAAGAGCTAAGGGAAAGAGGTTTCTCAATGCGAAAGGTGTCTTCGCCCATGTTCGGCCAAAGAACAGGGACATTCTTTCTATTTAAGTGTCATTCCTGCTTCATATCTTTTTACATACCCCAAAACTGAGTCCGATGACGACTGAGAGGTACAATAAGCTCTCCTGGATCTGCCGTGTTCTCAATCCGGCCCTTGGTTATATCCGAAAACCAAGGATAGGCAGCAGGCCCCGGATTCTGAACTGCGGGGAGAGATTATTAAGGTTTACTAAGTACGCCACTAGCGACCAAGTGTGTACTCTCTTCTAGGGATGGTGTAATTTCAATTTCAAAAAGCCATTTCAGTAATATTGAAATTTCACCCCAAAAAGTCGTTACAATTTCAATCTATCACGTGAAAGTAGTGGATACCGCTCCTAAACTTTAATTGGCTCAAAAAACTGAAAGTTCGCCTAATGTAGCTAGTAAATCTATATAAAGACTAGCGTGGTCTTACCCTTACAAATCCCAAAATCCGTTACATGAAATGTTGCCCAAAAAAGGGTGTATTACATGAAATTGAAATTACACTTCACCAACCCTACTCTCTTCATTACAAGCTATTGATGGGCCGCCAAGTAGTATGCCAGCCTCACAACTAAGCGAACATCTTTTGTGGAGTTTTCATACTCCGTACAACGGGCTGGTATACCTATGCTTCTTGTCGTCCTGCCGATTCAACAGGCCGTTCTCAGCACAACCCGATGTGACTCCTCACATCTTTGCTCAAACATTACACTCTCATTGGCGGGCTTGGTATGAGCGTCGTGGATCTGTAGGCAGCCAAGCCTTCAGATGCTGATCCGTTCGCAGATCTCCATCCTGCGGGGTTTACGACTCTCATCTAGCTTTCGGGCGTAAGGCATTACAACTCCCGCTTCGATCTGCCGACCACTACCTACTAAGCCGAATCTCGATCCGGATATGTTGGAAGGAAGCTTAGTGATCTGGTGAGGCGCGGGGCCCCGCGAAACCCGTATTCCCTATTTTCGGGTCGTTCCCGAGACGCCATTGATCCCGACGATCAGAAAGTGCCCATAATTCAGTCTACACTACGGATACCCGGGCTAGCATCACTTCGTGATGTGCTCCAGCCGTCACGCGTCGTCACGCGGCATACGCCTCTCGTATTCGTCGGGACGGCATGCGGCCCATAATTCCCACTTTATCCCCACCTGGGAGCTGAAGGTGGAGTTGCTTGAGGGGTAACCCAGCCAGCCAAGATACAAATACGAAGCTACAAATGCTAGCTCAGCTAGCTCATATCTCGAACTTATAAGACAGAGAAATCTCTTCTCTTCAGGAAAATAGCACGTCAATTTCTTTTGCCTAAATTCATATCGTGACCTTACACATCAAAATGGGTTCCTTGGATAAGATTGATTTCACTGTATGTATCTATTCATTTTCATCGCCCCTATGATACCTCGACACAGAACAACTAATTTCTTTACAGACCTTCTACAACACTATCAACAATGAACTCACAACCACATCAGCAACCCGCCACAGCCTCAATCCGGCCACGCGCAAGCCCAATCCACCCGTCCCCGTCTCCACTGCGTCAGACTTGAACCGTGCTGTAGATAGCGCCCGGAACGCTTTCAAGACATGGTCAAAATTGAGCCCCTCCGAGCGCCGTAGCAAGGTTGTCGCCCTAGGTGAAGCCATTGATCTACACGCTGAGGAGCTCACGGCTCTCCTGGTTCAAGAACAGGGCAAGGCGCACGGCCAAGCCGCCATCGAAGTGAGCATGTCCGGAACATGGTGCAAACAAATTCCGCAACTCGAACTCAACGATGAGGTGCTCCAAGATACTGATGACCAGCGTGTTATCCAACGCTTTACACCCATGGGTGTGGTCGCAGGCATTGTGCCGTGGAACTTTCCCCTGCTGCTAGCAGTAGGGAAAATTGCCCCGGCCGTTTATACGGGCAACTGTATCATCATTAAACCATCTCCTTTTACACCGTACTGCGCGCTGAAGATTGGGGAATTGGCGGCGAAAATCTTCCCGCCCGGTGTGGTACAGGTATTGAGTGACGATGGGAATATTGGGCCATTGATGACGGCGCATCCGGGAATCAACAAGATCAGCTTCACGGGATCAACGGAGACTGGAAAGAGGATTATGCGCCATTGTGCGGATACCCTGAAATCCGTTACCTTGGAGTTGGGAGGAAATGACCCCGCTATTGTTTGTGAGGATGTGGACATTGAGCAGGTCGTTCCGCAGGTATGCTTATCTTCTTTCGAGCAGAATCCACTGAAGGCTAACCGAGATTAGATTGCCACATTGAGTTTCCTCGTTTCGGCACAGGTCTGCATGATGATCAAGCGTCTCTATGTCCACGAAAAGATCTACGACAAATTTCTCGAAGCCTTCGTCAACTTCACTAAGAACCTGAAGGTCGGCAACGGCGCTGAACCCGATGTATTCTTTGGCCCAGTGCAGAATGAAATGCAATACGGGAAGCTCAAGGATCTCTTCTCTTCTATTCAAACAGAGAACCTTAAACCAGCCCTTGGTGGATCCATCACTGAATCCGAAGGCTACTTTGTTACCCCTACGATTATCGACAACCCTCCCGACAATTCCCGAGTGGTGCAAGAGGAGCCTTTTGGTCCTATTCTCCCGTTGATGAAATGGTCCGACGAAGACGAGGTTATTGCTCGCGCCAATGACACCGAAACGGGTCTGGGTGCCTCGGTATGGAGCAAGGATGTGGATCGCGCGCAACGTATCGGTACCCAGTTGGAGTCTGGATCGGTGTGGATCAATTCCCACTTCCAGGTTGCTCCTAATATTCCATTTGGTGGTATGAAGGCGAGTGGAAACGGTCGCGAATGGGGTCTGGAGGGGCTGAAGAGTTATACCCAGTCTCAAATGTTGTGGGTGAAGAAGGCTTAACTTGGGGATATAGTCTGTACATAGGCCCTGGATACATTTCAATAAATGATACTTGAATCTATCATAGTAATACGTATTCATCACTATCATATATTAATCCATGAACCTAGTCTCACACTAACATTCCACCAAATAGTCCTACCCTCAAAACCCATACACAACAACATCAACATCACATCTACTGTCCCAAAATACTAGCCAACGACTTACTCCCCTCCTCCGCCTCCCCCTTATCATCCGTAGGAATCTCCTGCGACGCAAACGCCAAAAACACCGCCTCCCAATGCCCATCCTCAAAGCTAAACAACAGCGCCCCGTCCTCATAAATCCCATTCTCATACGACGGCGCACTCCCCTGATTCATATGCACATCATGAATCCCGGACCCATACGACGACCCAAAGATATACACCGTCGCCTTCTTCCCAATCGCATCATTCAAAATAGGCTCCAAGGCCTCAAGCACAGCATTATGCGGCCCCGTATCAGCCTCCGACAGAACAGCGCCCGCCTCGATATTCACCAGACCCTTGGTGCGGAGGAAGTCCAGACCCCGCAGCTTGGAGGAGGATTCCTGGTGTCGACGACTGCGATGGGAATAGGATTTTAGTAGGTGGAAACCCTCGTCGAGAGTGGATAGCTGTTCGGTGATTGGGTGTGTGAAGTTTCGGTCGAACCAGTAGACTAGACGGGAGTCTTTGCCCGTGGATTTGACGTTGATGGCGGCTTCGTAGTCTTTGCTTGAGGAAGAGGAGGAAGAGGAGTCTTTGAAGTAGAGGTAGATGTGAGGCGACTTGGGATCTTCTTCTTCGGTTTGGGCGGTGTAGCGTGTTGGTTGGGCAATCCAGACGCCGTAGTGGGGGATGGTCATTTTGTGGGGAGTTTACTAGAAAATCCTTAAGAATGTTATGGTGTAGTGAGATTCAATTGCTCTTTACAGCGAAGGAAGAGGGCAACACAATAACCCCTCTTTATACTACTACCTAGTACCCAAGGTATGTACCACCCCACCCTAATTCATCATCATCATCATCATCACGCCAGCCACAATTCACACCCACCCACCAATAGATAAGACAAGTACAAAATCGACACATCAACCAACTACTTTACTAACTTATCTCTTGCCGATCGCAACCATCCAAATCCAAGCGATAAGCCAAGCGGGAGACGGACTTTCCCCACGTGCAGGATACTAGTTAGTACTAAGTACTAAGCTTAGCTCACTGCCGACGGGACGGACAGTCCGTCCGTCCCCCCGCCAGCCAACCAACCCGACGAATTCAATGCTTGGCCCGCCCGCTATCGTCACCCCTTTCGATCTGCTACAGTTATTGGGTGTGGGTTGTCGCTTAATCTTGGTTTGGGGATCGGCGAAGGCTGGCTAGCTGAGTACTAGGAAGTAGCACTCAATGGCTGTGACGTAGTGCGGTATTTCGGAGTGCGGTCTGGACTGTCTACTGTGTATATACAGGGTACAGTGGGTGAGATATGGGACGATCAAATGTGTCAGGTCTATGTGTCAGGCCACTGGTCATATTGGTGGCGTTGCGGTGGGTGATACAAAGTATGCTGTGCTAGAGTTAGTAGTGTCTGATGGGTGAGAAAATGATCCAGTACTGTACTAACTCTGGTTTTGATTTCCCCGCGCTGAGGATAACTTGCTTAGTGTTTGTGGCGGGTTTGTCAACGTCATGGGGGTATAGTAGAGGCTATTAAGATATAGTTTAAATGCTATACTTTCCGTTGGTGATATCTACTAATAGATTAGTGTAGTTCATATTAATCGGGGATGGCAAATATAATTCAGCATAGTATATACGATCAATAATCCTACACATCCCAATCCATACTCTCCAAAACCGTCTCAGTATACGCCCATATCAACGACGAAAAGTCCGAACAAAACGTCAATCCGGTATAATACGTACTCCTCCGCCCCTGCAGCGCATACAACTTGCGATAAAATCCATTGCGGATCTCCTCCGGCGACACCATCAACGTCTCCGGCGAACTATCCCCAAAAACCACGATCTGAGGATCCTGGATCGGAAACGTCCCCTTGGCCTTCATCCGCGCAAAATCCGCCGCTATAAGGTCTCTCGCGTCTTCCGCGGTGAAGTTCATATCGCCTACTAACTTGCTCGTTGAATGTCCCGGCGCTCCCATATACTGCAGTAGAAAGTCGAATGGCATGCGAGGTAAAGCACCCAGTCCGTTGGAGGGATCGGTATTAGTGACCCACAACTTGTCCGGGATACCGGTATTATTGACCACGGCAACGTAGTATGTTCTCCAGAACCATTTCTGGAATAGCTCCGTTTCTGTTTCATCCAGGTCGAAGCCTTGAAGCTTTTGCATGAGTGGAGGGAAGGTTATGAGGAGGTTTCTGGCTTTAATGAGTTTTCGAGTGCCCTTATGCTGAACTGTTACCTCCACTCCGGAATCGGACCGGTTTGTTGTAACCACGTTTGTCTGGAACAGCACGTCCGAACCGAGTATTTCCGTTGCTTGCTTGTAAAGGTCATACATGCCGTTTTTAGGCGTGATATATCCGTGGATGAGAGCGTCAACGTGCGGGACTCCAAAGTTTTGTATCGCATAGAGAGTGGGCATGTCGAGAAGGTTTCCTACATTCTGGGAGAAAAGGAACACCACATGCAGGGCAGCTTCGAGGGAATGCTCCTCGACGAATTCGCGAAACGGGCGGAGGAGGTCTTCTGGTACGGGGTCGGGAAGGTCGTATACCCCTCTTGTGAGGAACGTCCAGTGCTTTATGGATGAGCGGTAAATGAATGTTGATACGAGGGCTTGTAAGATTCCTGCTGGCGGGTCGACGCGCTCCCCAGTCGAGAAGTCGACGAAGTCGGTTCGTTTGTTGAGTGGGAGTAGTGGCTTCCAGTCTACCCCTAGTCGGCGGAAGTAGTTGCGGGAGAGCTCGTTGTTGAAGACGCCTTCGACGCCGTAGTCGACGTAGTTCCCATCTGGTAGGTATAGTGTCTCTGCGTGCCCTCCGAGCCGGTTGTTGGGCTCTATTACTACCACGTGCTTCCCTGCATCTTTGAGCTGGATGGCGCTGTATGTTCCTGAGCTTCCGCCTCCGAGGATGCAGATGTCGCAGGTTATGGTTTCGAGGGGGGCAGCCGCTGGTAGTAGGCCTACGAGGGAGCAGAAGAGAATGAAGAGATGGACCATCAGACACGGTTGATCATACAATAAACGTTCTCCAAGTGAATGTGTCGATCAATGGCTTATGCTTGGTCGGTCATCTCAAACGGTATAGTGGCTGAGGTAGTGGGCTGCATTGATACGCTTACTTATACACCGGTTTGGATAATAGTCCACTTGGATAGTAGGTGACGATACATCCCAGCGTCCTCGTGACAGACAGGGAATCATATGCTTCACTCATGAGATGCCCATGGGTGTAGAGTACACAGGGGTGTGTGGTTCCTGCATCTATCTCTTTGTGGACACTACTTGACAAGACACCTTCACCTGACATCAGCCTCGACAAATACCTAATTTCTCTGGATGATCATGAATCAATAAGGCACTTGCGGGTTTTTACCATAACTACGGGGTAGATATGGGGTTGTCTGTACAACAGTGACGTGCATCTGATCATCTACTTCAGGTATATGGCCGGGTTGGCATCACATGGCAACACTCATTATCATGAACTTGTGACAGTATCTCTTGCGCCTATCTTCTATCCCAGCATCAGGGTATTGATCTATTACTAACTAGGTCTCGTAAACCATATTCTATAGCAAGCAAGCACAAAACACCCGATCTATTCCTTCTCCCCCTCCAGCGCAGCAACCAACTCCCCAAAAGCAGTCTGAACCCCCTCCCTCTCCCCAACCCAATACCCCCCCTCCCCATCCAATCCCAAATCCTCCCCTCTAGCCGCCCTCTCAACCTCCTTCATCTCCGGAAACTTCAACCCAATCATCCTCTCCAACGGCCTCATCCTCACCCCCTGCAACACCTGCCTCAACTGCTCCGCCGCCTTCCCACCCCCATGCCCCCCATAACTCACCACCAACGCCGGCTTCCCCTTCCACTCATGAAACAAATAATCAATTGCATTCTTCACACTCGCTGGATACCCCCAGTTATACTGCGGTGTGACAAAAATGAACGCCTCGTGGCGCGATATCTCCCGTGACCAGGCCTTGGTGTGCTCGTGCTCGTACTCATCTGCTGAGCTGATGCGGGAAGGCATCCCTGACTCATTGTATAGTGGGAGATTCCATTCTGCCAGGTCGATGGTCGTAATTATGGCTTTTTCAGCGGGATAGGCTTCACGGATGGTATTGTGGATGAATGTGCCGATTTGGGGGCCTGCGCGAGGAGTGCGCTGGCTGCAGATTATGAGGCCGATGGAGGGGGGCATGATGATTAATCCCAGTTCCTTATTCTCGTTTTGGTTGGGTTAAAGGAGGTAGTAGGTGGATGGGCTCTTGTTTTTCTCTGTGCTACGTTCGTGGTACGGTTCTACGGGGTGTATGGGTATTTATGCGGTTCCGAGGGCTGTTTGGGATGTATGGTTCTGGTGGTCGGATAAGCCTTGTCCGAAGGCCGAGGCCGAACGCCGTTTGCTGATGTGAGGTGAGTCAATGTTGTATGTGTTGATTGATAATGCTCTTTGCTGGTGAACTTTATTACTACGCGTGACAAAGGATATATTGCTGGATTGATGCAGTTTGGGCCATGAGGCAGGGTTACAGATTTCTTCGGCATGATGCCGAACGTGGCGAATCAGCGTGTTTTCTTCAGTACACTGCAGAAGATATACATGTGACACGTGACTTTCCCGACTGGACGTCCTATCTGGGTGTATAGGTCCCCAGGTCGCCAGGTCGTACGTATTTTTGGTTCTTACCAGTATGGGACCTAGTTATTACTAGTACCGACTATCGGAAAAACTAAGCTGTAAAAATACACTGTCTCGCCAGGTGGTAAACCTGGTGAGGTCTTGTATTATACAAAATTTTAATTAAATCTTATTAGAAGATCTAGTAATTATTAGTTAAGATTAAAAAAATCCAACCTGGGGAGTTTTGGTTATAAATTACTGTATATATATCGGGTATTATTTATTCCATTTCTATTTTTATATATATATATAAATTTATATATATTTATTTATATTATATTAATAAAATATAAAATTACTAGTTACTAATATCTACTAGAAATGATTAGATATAATTAG